CCACCTGGCCTTGCACAACATCCCATTTCTTCACTGGGAGAAGCAGCTGCAGGTGGTGGCCGGCTGGCTCAGTGGCAGGTAGCCCCCCAGTAGGCTACAGGAGAATACTCTGCCGAAAACCCTGCGTTTTCCACCTGTATTGCACCAAGGGCACCCAGCACCAGAGCTCTGCTGCTGTAACTATCAGCAAGCCAGGACTTTCTGGCTGCAACTCAGATTGTCAGGTATATTCTTCCCCATACCTCCCAAGCGGTTTAGGGATGGGATGCAGAGGACGCAGCTCTCTTCCCCATCGCTTGCTGCTGCTCCCTTCCTCCTCCCCTGCGTTGTGCTTCCCGCGCCTCCTTCACTGCTAAGCAGTACTTGAAGGCAATCTTCTTGACAAATGACTTTGTAGGACAGAAAAGTCTGGAGTTGCTGTTATTTGGTTACCCTATAGTGACAGGATGGTTTGTACTTTTGCAGACAATTACAAGAATTAACATGGACAGATTTAGAGCCTGAACTTTGTAGAAGTGTCTGGCATTTCGAGAAACGCCAGAGAAACCAAGATAAATAGCAAGATCTTTGAGCAGTAATGTTACTGCTTTATTTCCAGAAAACACAGAAGTACTTTCTCCCACAGCCCTATTCACTGTATTTTAAACTAGGACCATCCAGTCCTATTGATCAAAACAGGAGAGTAAAGCAGAAATAAACATTTTGAATTAACAACAGGAAGTGTCAAAACAGCAGCAGCTATATTCCACATTATTTATTCATTTAACTGAAAATTGAAATAATTAGAGAAAGCCTCTGACCAGAGAGGAATGATCCGATCTGTCTGGTATTTTATCATCTGATAGATTTGATGGATTTAAAAACTGGAAGGCATCAAGGGCTCAGAGAACCCAGATTCCTTCTCCCCTCACTGGAGACTTCTCCCTTTGCTCCAGCAGTGTCACAGCGTGCTACCTGCTCGGTAAGAAACAAACCAACCTACTTCTCAGGCAACAGAGAAAAGGAAGGAGAGGGGGACACAAGACCACACTTCAGGGGGTCATCGGCTCTTTTTAGATTTCAAACTTCCTTTCAAAACTCTGTTCTGCCCTTGTTCCAGCATCCCCCAACATGAAGCCAGGTCACCCGAATCCTCATGTAAATTGTAAAACGCTTCCTTCGCATCCTTTCAGACACTGTCCTTTCTTTCAGGGCAAAGCAGCACGGTTTAAGCAGTCTGTACCCTATGCACCACACATTGTATTTCCTTTCTGATATTTGATGCAACTGAATTGCCAGGCAATCTTCAACAGCAGCAGTGACCTTTCATATGCTTTTATGGATGGGCAAATTTAATTTCTAAAAATAGATTCAATTTCTGGAATATGTATTTATTTCAACATGCGCTGTACCTTCCCTCATTCTAAGCTGGTTTTTAGAATTATATCAAGCTTTAGCTGTAAAAATAAAGTGAAGCCCTTCTCCCTCACAAGATGATGATGATACGAAATGGTGTAAATAAAATATGCACTATGATCAGCTGAGGAGGAACATAACATGTATAAGCTATTACCAAACACATAGCACTTCCTTCGATGCTTTCCCCGAACAGATACTCTGTAAATAGTCACCTCTCGACTTTGACTTGAAAGGGCATCATTGACTTAAATAAAATGCACATAAATATTTTAGCTGCTACAGTGAAAAGGGATTATTTATTGTAATGATGAAATAATAAAAAGAACATTTCTTCAGCTATTTTAGTCCTCACATCTGAGAGCAGACTGTTCCTAGCTGTTTTGCTGATCCTGCTATAAAACCAGTTCCTCCTGTGACTGCATGGCTGTTTTGCAAGGCATCAGAGGAGAGAGAGAACATTAAGCTGCCACAAAAATGTTATAGAAGTGAAAAGGACAGGATTTGGGGACACATGCAGAAAATATATATTTTTTGTAAACAGGAATTAAGCCTTGTGGGTCAAAAAATGAGTGCAAATATGACCCCCCCGGAGCCAGCTCATGTTCAGTCTAGGTGCAAGGGACAGCAAAGCCCACAACTATTGGAGCAGGGATATGGACACAGCCAGCAGGACCAAGGTGACCTTGGCAAGCAGAAGTAATGTGCCCCTGTAAAAGGGCTTTTGCAGATTATTCATTTCAACTTTCCACCAAAACAGCTTCCAAACAAAAGGTAGCCAGAGAAATGCTACCTGCAGGGCTGCAGCTACCCAGCATACACGGGCAGAGGCCAAGGTTCAGCCTATCCATCAACAGGACATTGCAGATTCATTCTGGGGTATAAAAACCAACCACACTCATGAAGAAAACAGAATAAAGTAATGCTCAGTACTTTTCCAGCTCAATGTTATTCTAGTATTTAATTAAATATTTTTTTAGCCTACAAAAACTATATGCCACCAAATCCCTTCCTATATGTTCTTTTGAGACAGGCTTTTTTAATGCACCAAAAGTGCATTTTTAATAACTGTAAAGGGCATCTAACTAGACTAAAGTAATCGGCTCTGATAATTAAATATAGTAATTATACAAATTAAAATACTTCAACCTTATAATGAATCACAGTGAGATGCTAGAAAGGGGTGTGTGCAGGCAATGGACAAGCTAGGAGACTTCAGCGGCACCGAGTAGGTTTTCTCAGCACTTTGCAACTGTTTGGAAATGGAGGACATCTCTGGCAACACAGGTGCTGCCAGGAGCAGTAAAAACACGATTCACCACTCAGCTAGTGTGAACATTGCAAAACCTCCATCCTCATCACACAGTACCAGGGAAGCAGACCTAATCTACTAAGATTTCTAAGATCAAAACATAATTAAAAATACAAAGGGGGTAAGGTGAGATAATCGCATGTGATTCTGCAATTAAAAATTGGGTTGGAAACTGCCAGTTAGATGTCCATGTGTCCAAAGCTTGGCTATTTGAAGAGAAGGCTCCCTTGGGTTGGTTTTAGGCAACTGCATAAACACTTACTTGAAAACATTTTTAAAAAAAAGGAGCCTACACATCTTCCCAATCACTGAAGACATTATGCAGCTCCTGTGCCTGTAGCTTAGGTCAATCTCTTTGCTTACTGTTAAATTTTAACAGCTTTCAAGAGCCCAAAATGTTGTGTATTCTATTAAAGTCTACTAGCTGTTAATAAGCATGAAAACCCCAAACCTAATAAACCACCTATATTCATAAATTTTATACTGAATTGAAAAAACCTAAAGAAAAAAAACATTCTGCAAAGATGTTTTAGCATGGGAAGTTCCTGGATAACAAAAATCTTACTACATACGATAAAAAGGAAGGCACAGTGGTTTAATATTGCATGTGAGAAATTAAAATAATAATTGGGGTGGGTTGGAGTTTTTGGAAGACTTTGTAGCTTATGTTTCCTGTAACCCTGGAATATTATTAATACACAAGCATTGCTCTGGCTCACAAAATAAAAGAGGCAAAGCAACATCGGTACTTAGGACAAGAAATGTAGCACCTTTGCCAATGCTGAATAACATTCAAGATACAAAGTGCTGCATTAAAAACTGATATGGATTTTTCAAGTTCTACCGAGTTTTTAATAAAGTATTTAGAAGATAGGTTAGCACTTCCAAAATATTATATTTTTCCTGATAACGTGCCTTTAAAAGCAATTTGGAGAGCAACTTTCTGCTTACAGTGAAAAGTTGAGCAGTAACTGCTGAGTCCAGGCACGTATTTCCACCTGCAGCAGTAGATAAGACGGTAGATTTTGCTGCTTTGCCTTACATATTCCTGTAAGTTTTTCTATTTAACTCTACAAAACCATGCTGTGAGCATTTTGATATATAGCCCACATACACATCTATGGGATGGAACCTGGTTGGTCTAATGGAGGTTTGGAAGTAGCTTTCTCTATGTAATCCATGCAGCTATTCCACCACTTTCATAACCCCCAGCTCAGGACTTCTGCTCTTTGCTAATCAAATAAACCAGGGAAAAAACTTGCTTGAAGCAATCCTTATATATGCACAGGAAACCCAAAAATATTTTTGCTTTAGGGAATACCACTTTGTTCAAACCAAAACCTTTAGTGAGAAAGGGTAAGTACAACTAATGTATTGACCATACAGTATCTTTTTTGCAAGATATGAAGTCACTGACATTATTTGTACCAATATTTTCAAAGGTAAAAATTCTATTTTTATATTCTTTAACATTTTTGGCTTTGAAATACAAATTGAGTACAGAAGAAAAATTAAGAAAATGGTACAAATCGAAAGTCAGCATTCAAATATGATCAAAGCAGTTTCAGATAATTTGAATCAGATCTGCTGTTTGTTCCCCTTCAATTTTTTGATTCGCATTACTTAAGCTGTATTAATTGTCAGAATTCAATGTGTGGAAATCTTCTGTAAGCTCTTTCAAAAAAGCTTTATCAGCCATGCAGCAGAAAACGTGACAGTGTAGAAACTCGCTTTTCTTGTGAGACCACTAAAGAAGGTCGTTGAATAACTAATGGTCTATTACAACAATAATGTGAGACTTCAGTGGGATCTCTAATCCCTCCAGCTTTTAAAAGAATATATCAAACTAAGGATAGGGAAATTTAGATTTTTTTTTTTTTTGAGAACGACATATTCTAACTTGAGTGGAACATACCTTCAACACCCGATGATGACGTGTCACTAAAAGAGAGCTCCGTGTCAAGGTATTTCCCATTAAAACACAAGAAAACGTGTAAGTTGTGAATACACTGTCACGTACTTCACCTCTGTTTATGAATAATGGTATCACTACGGCTGTTTTATTCTACATTTAAGCCTCACTGCAATGCTTTAAGCAGCTTCCGTAACAATAGCAGCAATTTCAGAGAAAAGAGATTTCATCTTCTGCTTGTCCTCCCATTGTTCCAAGGAGGAGCTCATTAGCTGAGTGCTCCTTACAATGGAGATTAAATAGTGATGAAATTGCCAGAAGCGATCTCAACTACTTATTCCACTTCCTGAACTGAGCAAAAGGTGGCTTATGTTGTCTTACCTTTATGGTTTTGGTCTGGAGTCTGAGTCCATTTAAAGTGTTAATGGCTTTCTCTGCATCCTTTGGATCAATATAGTTAACGAATCCATACCCTAAACTCTGCCCTGTTGAAATACAAGAAACAAAGAAAAAAGACTCAGTTTTTTTTTTTTTTAAGCACAGGAACAACTTCCAAGAGCAGGATCATAATTTTCTTACACCATTTGTTTCATCCCTGCTTTCCCCTATGGTCTGTATACTGTTCTTCACCACTTCATTATCTCCTTAATACAGTAGAAGCCAACATAAAAATTTTAAATTGCTGCTCTGAAGATCCTACTTTAAAAACAAAAAAAGAAGCAACCCCCCACCCTGCCTTCCCCAGGAGTTTACCGAAAAGTGTGTATGAGGCTTGACAGCAGCAAAATTGTGTAATACTTTTGTGCCGAGTTCCTAGTAAAAGTAACTGGCTGACCTGCCAGAGCAGTAACAAGGCCACCTCTTAAAAATGATAGGAGACATACACACATAATTTTGCTACTGTTTATAGACAAGTTTATAAGTGTTTAAAATGCAGAAATTAGGAAACAGTGTTCTAACACTAACCTTGAAGCAGCTGACTGAGAAACAGACAGCAACCTTTACATCTCATTTTATTGCTCAGTGAGCAGCCAGTAAGGAGGAAGAAAAAGGACAGATCAAATTGCAGTAGGATAAGAGACCGCATTAAAGCTTTCCTCTGTGTATCAGAGATGACATCAAAACCAAAACAGTACAACTGCTGCTGCGCACGGGATGGCACGAGCCCACTTTAGCAGCCAAAATAATTTCAACAGCTTCTGTTTTACTAGCAAGATCTGTGTTTGTGTTTGCAGTAGAAAGAGGAGACCTGGTTAATAGCTGGGATAAGTAACATGGAGCTGGAGAGGCCGTGCTGTTAGCACTACAGATACTCATTCACACAGCACAGGGACAGAGCTGTAGGTCTGCAAGGGGCTGCAAGAACCCGTACCAGAGAGGTAACCTTTCCCGATTCCCAAGTACCAGTTTTGCAGCATCAAGTCTATTAATGCTACGTGACAGACAGCCACTTCCAGATCCCTTCCTCCTCGAGCCTCCTACTGAAGTTATTTTGCACATTTGGAAAACACAGCAATTCTTATGTGTTTTTTTTTTAAGGCACGTTCACTTAAAAACATACACAGATATCAAATTTCAAGAATAAGCGAGCCCAAGCAGGTAGGCAAGCAGTCCTGCATTTCAACCACACTCCTTCTCATACACCCTTCAGTGTATCTGGAGAATAGCAAGCCAAAAGACAACCTGCCTCTGGGCACTGACGCGGATGGGATCTAAGTGCTCCTGCTCACAGGCAGGAAGAAAGGAAATGTGAAAAACCCCTCCCAAGGAGAAGGACAGCACTGGCAGAAGATTTCTATCCGAAGGAGCAGCAAACAGCGACCCAGCTCCTGCTCACCAGGAGAAAGTAGAGGTTGGGAAAGCAGCTGCACACCAAGTGCCTTGATGTACCCTGGAGGCACAGATCCTGCCTCCCAAGCACAAAGCTTTGTTTCTTTGTCTCCTGGACTACAAAAAAGCATCTATGTGTTTCTCAGACACCACCAAAAATACAGCATTTGCTGTAACACAAATACAGGGAGCTCTGTCTTACGAAATCAGATCAAAGCACTAGAAGCTGCTAACTATGTGATGGAAGACCTTAAAAATCCATGGAAACATTGCAATTCACACCTAAAATGCCCATATGCAGGCATAAGGATACGAATTGTTTGTTTTAAACTACAATATATCCAGGGAGCAATTCCATCCACTCAATTTAACTTCAGGGGGAAAAAAAAGTATAAAAACATACCCCATCATCCTGGAGAGCTGAATTAATCTCAACAAAAATATTCTTACCCAAGTTACACAACATTAACCAAGAACAAGCTGAAGTCTGACAGAGCAAAAAGCCTGGAGCAGACATACTGTGAAGATGCTTTCCATGCCATATCTTCCTCTTCTTGTCTACCTGAGAGATTTTATACAGCCCCAATCCCTGTGCCTCTGAACACATCATATCCTTAATACATTTAATCCTAAACGTTCCCAGGCAGAAGGAAGCCATTCTCTAGGAAGCAAACCTCTTTTTACAGAGGAAGGGAGATGCAAGGATCAGGGCTTGGATAACCTGAGTTCATGTCCCTGCTTTTCCCATTAACTATCTATCAACCTTCAGAGGTACATAGATAACAGGAGTAGCTGATGCAAGGCCCTGGGATTTATGTCAGTGTCTGAAAACAGGCTTCCATGTCCAGCCGCTGTTGTTCTCAAGGTACACAGACTGACCAACCTCTACAATATATACAGTGATTTTTAATAATCTCTCATAGGAACATTCTCCCTTCTGTAAATACTTCTACAAGGAAGAGACCACGGATAACAAACCCACAGACAACACAAGCTGTAGGGAAGGGAAATAATGGCAATACAAGAAAGAATGATACAAACACTTCATAGACCATTTACTCCTTTCCTTGGAGTTCTCCAGTAATGTTATTCAAGTTTAGATACCACCATCTCTGATTCTCACTACCAACTGGAAACAAACAAATATTTTCTTCAAGGTGAAGGATAAGGAGTACCAACATGAACAAAGCTGTCTGCATGCACACCTGCAGAACCTGGCTTAAAGAAAACAATTACATTGTCATAAAATGTTGCTTAGAATAATAGGTACACAGAAATGTGATTTTCTTTTGTTAATATATACTCCTGAAATATATAAAACTTGTAATGGAATTTAAGGCCTGCTACTCATAAGCTATTGGTTGTGATTTCATAGCAAGTATATTAATTGCTATATTGACTGGACTATATTCTCACAAAAAAGTTAGGGTGGGCCTACTCAGCATTCTGAGCACGGACTTTCTGTTAATTCAAAAAACCTCTTTTATCTAAAAAAACAAAAACCAAAAAACCCCACCACCTCAAATCCCACACCCTTTGCAGCCTACTGAAATTTTGGTGCAGTTCCTTCAATTAGCGAATTCCTGTTGCTGCTTTCTGTCACATGCTTTGCTTTGTACCAGTGAAGCTGAAAGGAGAAAATCTTTCAGTTAACAGCTTGCCACTTCAGGGGTATATTTTGTTTGGTTTACTTTGTATTTTCAAGCACCTCCCCTAAACACCATCATTTAATCAAAGCAGACACCCCCCCATCTCAAAAAAACTGAAAAGAAAATAAACCCAGAAAAATCATAATTTGTGAAAAGCTTTACCACTGCTGGTAGACATCATACAGTTTTAGCGTACTAAACATTTACAGCTAAGAAACAAAAAAAATTATATATCCAGCTAAAAAAATTATTTTCCAATTACTCTCAAGAGCAATACACCTTATGTCAGACAACACAGACTCTAGATATGAAAGAACTAAAAATTGTTACCAGTAGAGAAAGAAAAGAAGAATTTGTTCCAGAATACAGTGAAGCAGTATGAACTTTCAGTTTTGTTCCTTTTTTTTAATTGTGTACACTTATTGCATGTACTCGAAAAGGGTAATGTTTCTTTGGACACAATCTGGCAGCATGAAGCAAGCAGCTGGACCTCTCAGTGGGATCCCACACAGACACTGAAGTTCATTCCCATGCTACACTTCCCAGGAACAGCACCGTAAATAGTAAATATTTTCTGTGATTTGGAATCCAATAGTTCAGCACATACTGTGATTCAGTAGGGCAGGCAAGAGATATTTCTAGATGATCCTAAAACAACACCTTGTTATATCACTATTACCATTGCTCTTTCTGAATGTTTTATCTAGCTTGCAGAAAATGCATAGTGGATCTCCTACGATGTTGTAAAGAATACGTCTAAAAGTGAGTGATAACAGGGTTAAAAATGATCAAGGACTTGACAGTCTTAAAAAAACACATGCAAAGCCAAGCCCAAGCTGGTAATGTACATATTTTGTATTTTAGAAGGCTCTATTTCACAGAGCTGAAAAATCACCAAGATTAAAACAAACCATGAGAAAGATTATGGAAAAAAATTAATATACCCTGTTTATAAAATTTATCCATACACCCAAAAACCTTAAGAGATAAAAGGAACACAGATAGAAACCAATATAAGTTAGGTAAGAAAAATCATAGGAAACAAATGAAAAAACCCAGAAAAAACACTCTGGCTAGTAAAGGTCAGAAAAACAAAAGCTTTTTTTTAGATTACACAAAAAACATCCCTTAACACTCATGCTGACTCATCAGCAGATAGTAATAACAGTACAGAGAAAACAAATGGGTTATGTACACCTGAAGAAGTACTAACTAGCAAGCCAGGTGGTTTTTAAACAGGAGGTCCTAAAATTATACATGTTTAAATTAGATCTGGATTACTTGCGCAGAACAGACTCCAAGAAGAGAGGCAAATGGCGCTCTTGCGATTTTCATTAAGTCTTACAGCACTAAAATTCCAGGAGCCTGGAGGAAAGAATTCTGCACTGAAATTCAAAAAGAGAGGACTGGATGACCCAAGTAATTACAGGTCCATCGCTCTAACACTGAGCAAGGCAAAATTACAGAATACTCGATACCGGACTCTAATAATAAAGAATTAGAGAAGGGTAATAAAATCAATGTCAATCAAATTAGGTCTATGGAAAATAGATTCTGTCAAACTAAACTGACATCCTTCTTGATGAGATTACAAGTTTGACTGATAAATTTTAAGAATGTCGATTTAATAGCATTGATATACTTGGTCTTCTATAAAGCACTTGATTCGGTACTGCTTATTTAATTGACTAAAACAAAATTAACATGGTACACATTAAATGGATTAAAAAAATAATCAGCCAACAGATCTCTAACTGGGAATTGTGAATAGGAAATCACCAGGAAGATGTTTTCCTACAGGTCTCTCTCAGGAAACAGATCTTGGCCCTAAACTGCTTATTTCCATTGATGAGTGGAAAAAACACAAACTCCTTGCTCCTAAAGATCATCGACTGCAGAAAGACAGGATGGGAGGATATGAACAAAGAGGAGAGAGTTCAGGTACAAAGCAATTTAAGCTCCTCAGTAAACTACAAATATGTAAATTTAGATAGCAGAAACCCCAG